ACGGTTCCGTTGCCGGTGGCCCGATTAACGGCGTATATTTTCGACGGCACGCGTTCCGCCGCTGAATAAAACGGATGATAACCGTAACCGAAACGGAACGGCGGAGTTCGAAGGCGGTTCCCGAGCGTCGCGCGCCGGCTTAACCGATACACTTCGCGCGGGAACAAGTGTACCGAACTCGTTCCGCGAGTCACGGGGGAGGCCGGCGTCGGAGGAGGATATCCGTGGAATATAGGGGGCCCCGGCTAGAGCATTAATTAACGAAAACATGCAGGCGAGTCGGACGCGAAAGAATCCGAGACAAGCCGACGGTAGCGCTGACGATCGTTCGACACGCGAACAAACTCCGCGCCCAATTAATCCTGGTTAATCGTCGATAAACATTATTGTCGACGACAGCTTCGATATTTTAAGGATCCCTCACAAACGTGGCTTGCTTTTAATTAGATTAATCACGAGCGATTGAAGTGACATGTTGCTCTAGAGATGAGAGAAAGGAACTCTTTTTTTAGAAGTCTTTTGTAATTTTACATTAATAACAAAGCTAAATTATGATAATCAATACCCCAGCGACACTACATGAACAACCCCTAATAACCTCCCATCAAAAAGTCCTCTAGCAAAGTCCCAAAGATTCCCAATATCGCGATTGAGCAGTAAGATGATCTTAGAAACTGAAATTCGAACGCTGCGATTCAACCAGTGTCTCGATAGTAAAGTGTCGATAGTAAAATATTACACGAGCTTAAACGAAAGTAAATAGTACGCCAAAGGGTTAACAGAATTTCAATCGTTCACCAAACTGAACCCAAAGAATCCATCGCTCCAAAAACGACTACCAAATGCTCCACAAAGATTCAATCCCTAGATCTCCCAGTCTGATTACACCATTATTCCTCTCCGCGATGCCACTCTGCAGCCTCTTAATGCCATCGCTGAATAAATAATACGCCAAAGGGTTAAGGGAAATCATCCCCAGTCTCAAGACGACGCTGACAAAGGGAATCTTCCTCCTAAACTCTTCCCAAGACATTCTTCAACATCCAAACGAGTGAACTGCAAGATTCCGAGTGTCCACTCGTTGACACCATAGAACCCCATGTTGCAAAACTGAAACACAGTCGACCCGGCGGCGTCCAGCGGCCGCATCCGTCGTCGCCTCGTTATCCCGTCGACGTACCCGTCGGCGACGGCCGCGAGCAACGCCGGCGACACGGCCGCCCCGGGTCGCTGTGGACGTCGCTTAATGGGATGCATAAAGAGCGATGAAGCAGAAGGAAGAGTCGGCGACTCGACACGTGCCACCCACGGTGAATTACAATATTCACGATCGAGGGATCCACCGGGGCGACACGATCACCACCGAGGCCGGGCTCCCCGGTAGTCGAGCGGCCGCGTCTCGGCCCGAGATCGGAATTCTTGATCAGCCGGCGCGGTGGATCGCCGCCGACACCGGGAAACCATTCGTCCCGCCGAATCGATGCTCTCTCCTCGTATCTCGCACGAAACCTGGTCGCCCGGCCAATCGACCGGATCGCCGTAGATCGCGCCGCGGACCGGGAACCCGGGGGATAAAGGACACGTTCGGCTGGCAACGACGACGGACGGGACGACGCTCGACGCTGAAACGATCCCCTAACAACGTCCCGGAGTAAACAGCGCTCATAAAGCGCGCGAGGATTTATGGACGGGCCGAGAGGCTTACGCGTCGCCGCGTTGATTTACATTTACGCGACGTCGCCGGGGAAAAATGGAGTTGCGACTTTGAACGGAGTATTTTTTGATTCTCTGCGAGATCGGAGGTGGTTAAGGGATGAGGGTATTGGAAGATGGGAACGTGGCTGAGGGAATGGTGATGAGATGGTAACCCTTAACCCTTTGCACTTGGAGGTGACCATAGTGATTCGATACAACTTTGATGTTGAATATTTAATATTTTAAATTGAAGTTTGCATTGCTACGTGAAATATTTAAATAACACCTCAATAACACATCGATTGCTTAATTAATAGAGAGAAAACTACATGCTGATCTCTTACTGTTCGACTAATTAGATTGTTTTTCCACGACTTAGTCTTCCAAATCTGAACGTTTCGTCTCACCGAAATGACCCCGCAAAGGGTTAATCATTCGTAAGATTCAGGAATACTTCCGCTCGAGAGGTGACTCTCAGTCACAGCAAAACTATGAAGTAGAATATTTAACATTCGAAATTGAACTTTCTATTACTATGTGAAATATTCAACTCGAATAGCCTTGTTGCTTAATTTATCTATGAATTATCGTTGAATTAGCTTCAAACAATATGACCTATATCTCGTCAGAAAACGTGGAATATTTCCATTGAGAAACTTTCGAGTGCAAAGGGTTAATGTAGATGCGTGTGGGAAAAGTCATTCTAATCTCTGGTATTGGTGTTGTTTGCAATTAACATGTGACAGGCTTCTGTAGATTTGTTATCTGTGTTACCGTATTCTTTGGTAGTGTGTGAAAGATGGAATGGTTGCATCGATCGCGATTGAGAAAGGAATAGTTAATTAGTTTTCTAGAACAGAATGGTAGCGAGATCAGAGACGGAAGTCTGAATGATCGAGAGATCAAGCGTTACGTAACGCTTCGAATCTCCCGTAGAATCTCGCCTGATTTTCCCGTGGGATTAAAACGTGAAGCGGAGCCAAAGTGTTAAAGCTCGTGACGCACGATACGATCAATCGTCCATCATATCCGCTCGCGTTCCGCGCCTTTGCTCCTCTCGTTCGAAAGGCAGCTCGCTAGCGCCCGCGGCGACAGCGCGGGAACCGCTCGGCCGTTTGATAAATTCACGTCCGATGAGTTTAAAACGCATTAGCCCGCGATAAATTTCATCCTCGGCGTTCCTCCGCGGCGCGCGACGCTGTTCCGGACAGTGACAGCCGGGAAACGCGTTGTCAACGTCATCGGGATTAAGTCTCCGATTAACGAGCCCCGACCGAATTGTAAACTGAATGCGGACCTACGATCCTTGAATTTAGGTGAACGGGAGAGGATCGCTAAATACAATCGCTGCCTGTTCAGATAAAATCAACCGGCGATGCGGATCGCGGGCCGCTTTTAATTCGATTCGATACGAAACGGCGCGACCGACCGGTGCACCGAATCGAACGTCGCTGATCCGAATCGAAAAATGACGCCGCCCTGTCCGCTCCCCGCCCAGGTGAAACCGAAAAGCGCGTTTGGCACGATTCCAGCCGCGATAACCTTTCAAATCCAAATTACTTGTGGTTTGATTCAGTTCGGGCGCAGTCGGACCGA